CACCGGAGCAAAGGTAGGAGAAGATCTTCCCGTAGCATAGCGCTCCCCCAGATCGGATTAGGGTTTTGGAATTATTGAAAAAGGCTTTCGCCCCGCTTTATATATAAAGCACAGATCAACCACAACCCAAGTAAGCACACCCCACGACAGCACACGCACACACCCAAGACGGGATACATAGGCGCTGTGCGCAGCAACACCACCCCTAATACTACAAGAGCAATCAGGGACCTCCACCGGGAACACGCCACCGCGAGGAGATGAAGACGCATATGACGAACCGAGAGCTCCAAGGCGGCGCCTCCAAGAAGGTTACGACGCTAGCGCGCCGCCACCGCCTGACCCGGGGGTCAGAGTTTCCTCTGAAGCAACACGATGACCGGTGAGAGCCGCGACAACGCCTTCAAGAAGGTAACGCGCTACGCCGCTGCCGGTCCGTCCGAGGATAGAACAGGTTTTCACCCCAGCAAACACTCACCACCACCGAACGCCACACCCCTGTCACCATGCCGCCCACACGGCCATGGTCACCGGGCAGCACCAAGCCACGGGCTCTGCCCATGAGCACCGCGCTACCACCACCAGGGCCGCCGCCCCAGCATCCAAGACCTTGACACCACCACACCCGAGACCCGTCGCTACCCCAACCAAAGAGACGAGTGGAAAGGTCGCTCCTTTACACACCCCTGGACGGCCCCCGGCGCCGAGACCCAAAGGGTCGGCCCAAAAAAGGCCTACATCACCCGTCCTGCTACACCGGGTGCAAGACAAGCTCAGTCCTGCTGCCAGGCGCGAGACGAGGTCGGTCCTGCTGCCGGGCGCGAGACAAGCATGGTCCTGCTGCCGGGCGCGAGACGAGCTCGGTCCTGCTGCCGGGCGCGAGACGAGCTCTGTCTCGCAGCCACGGGCACGAGACGAGCAATGGACCGCAACTGGGAGCGGTCCAGCCCTATGACGAGGGTAGAGCCCGGACGACGAGGGGAGGGATCGAAGGTCAAAAAAGGCTGCTCACCGACGGCCGACGCCGCTCTCGGAGATGACCAGCCGCCGCCGTGACACGATCCAGACCACCGCCATGAGCCACCACCACGCCGTGGCAACCCACATCCCCGCATCCAGGCCCTGGACAACACCACCGGAAGCTCCACCACCCCACCTGAGAAGCACAGCCGCCAGCAGCACCACCACCACCTTAGCAGGGCCGCCGGTCGTCCCCGCCGCCACCAACCACCAACACCAACCAGATCTGGGCAGAGCCACCCAGATCCGCCGCCAGAGCAACCCGCCTCCTCGGATCCCCACAAGCCGCGCTGGACGGGGAGGGAGGAGAGGGGGGGCACTCCTGCGGGCTACCACGACGCCGGAGAGGGGGAGGGGAGCCGGAGCAGAGGAGAGCCGCTGCCCGACGTCAACGGGCAGGAGGGGGCGCCCCGCGACATCGGCCACCTGCGCGCGGGAGGAGACGCCCCGTCGCCGCCTGCGCCACGCGGCCTTTGGCCGGTGACGTCGCCGGCGGCGGCGAGGGAGGAGAGGCCGAGGCGAGGGGCTGGGGCAGCGGCGCTAGGGAAGCCGCCCGGAGTCGCCCGCGGGAGCGACTCTGGGGCGGACACGTTTTTCTGTTTCCTCCGATTTTGGAATTTAGAAGGGCAAAGTAGATGCACGTGAACTAGTTAGATCGTGTGTGGCCGACTTCCCCCTCTTTATATGTGACGTTGGTGAACACGTTGGTTTGGGTCACCCCGGTCAAGACGCATTAGTTGAGATCGAGGGGTGCGAACATTGGTTCGTGCCTTAACGTAACTTATTTCTGGTTTATCCTTTTGCCCGTTGGGCCTTATATCACTACCCACAGTAATGAGTGAAAAAACACTCAGTCTTTCTAGAAGGAAAACATTTGGTACTACCGCATCAATATCGACCATATGAAGCACCGCGAGAAGGTCTTCATATTTTCTGGTGCTTTTAAGTTTCCATCATTGCCGAACATTGTATGATTGCATCTCTATGTTGCCAGTGGAATCTGTGATTGGTGTCGGCTCATCATCATCCTGCTCCATTTTAAAGTCAGCATGCGCCATCTTATTAAAGACATAAAAGTGAGGAAGACGTGCCTCCACTGAAGTTGTAGAGAGTTGATCTACACGCGTGGCGACAGTGAGATGACCCGGTTGCTAGATGGTGCCTCTCTGCGCATGGCAGGTGTACGAGCAGGTAAAATATGCCAATTTGATCGAATCATGTGCAAAGCTGACAAGCTCAGCCTTTTGTGGTGGGTAGTTAGTTTGATTAATTTGCTTGTTTCGTTTAGAGCAAGGCTGGGCAATTCATTGCATGTTTCAGCATCTCTCTTCTCCGTCAGTGGACTCCGAACCTCATGCAACACGGGAAAAGTATGCAACAATTCACACTTGGTCCAATGCCTGCGGTAGTCAAGGATTTTAAGATACATAATCGTGTGAGTTGTTGCGGCTAATCTGATTCCGCTGCCAAACTAATCGGGTAGTAGAGATTCCATGTGGAGTACATGTGACTCGTTGAGGTAGAAAGCGGTGCTGTCTTCTTTCTTTAGGAAGAGAAATAAACAAAGATGTTGTTGATTTGCACTTGCAGGGTTTCCAAACGTGATAAACAACTGGCAGTCCGGTAAAGCTGGTACTTAATTGCTTCTGTAGGGGAAAACAGTGCCTGGTTCGGTAGTATGCGCCTGCATTAAAAAAATTAGGGGAAAACAGTGCTTAGTTCGGCAGTGCTTATTAACAAAGCTGAAGCAAAAGCTACGTTTCAATAGCAAAAGATCTTCCCTTTTTTTCGGCTATAAGATTCCTCTGCTTTGTCTCTCACTCTAGAATTTTGTATCGCCTGGCATCGGATTACGCCTAGGACTAAGCTAGCTTGAGTGATGCACTTCGTAATTTTATATACCCGATAAGAAGAAATTGTAAAAGAGACTATTGTTACAAGGCCGAGGGCTATAGCCTCAACTGCCCTAGGCCTATCTTCACCGTTAAGGTTGAGATTTCAGTTGCTTACACATGGTGTGGGACCCAAGATCCTACCCACTCTGTAAATAAATATAAGAGCGTTCAGATAATTAGAGTAGTGATCTAAATACTCTTATATTATTTTTACAGAGGGAGTAATTCCTAAAGGTGATGGGAAGAGATTGGATCTATTAAAACTTAATATATCAATTTCAGAGTAACAGGAGTGATGTTTGTCAAGCACTGAGAAATTAACTAACTGATCCAAATCTTGCTCCATCTTCGCCTGATTTTGCCGATGTAACATCGGTCGACCTATACAATCGCTATACTACCCATGAACCATCAGTTACCGCAAAGTGCAAAGTAACGAAGGCACGGTGTGCATGCATCAGATGCCTACCGCGGACCGGAAGACTTGACGCCGTCAGGTGTTGCATGCGTCTGGAATCAAGGTGATTCGCCAACGACGTTACCCGTCTGAACTGATATTTTTTCCCTTCTTTGAAATTAGGCACTCATGGCAGTAGAAGTGTAGGCAGAATCTATGGTCTATCTATGTACGGTTGATACAAACTTCAGTGACCAGAGGGCCTACGTATAGATCATATCAATCTGCAAAGAGCAGGAAGCTGCTTGCTATGTACTACTCCCTCCGTCCGAAAATACTCATCGAAGAAATGCATAAAAATGGATGTATCTAAAATTAAAATATGTCTAGATATATCCATTCCTCCGACAAGTATTTCGGGACGGAGAGAGTACATAGAAGGTAGGGAACAGCTTCAAGAATTTGTTCCTAAGTGTCGAGTTCCAGCTTTGGGAAACGGGTGGCTGGTCTGCCACCAAGGTGGGCAAGGAGAAAAAGTTTAAGGTTTCACATTGCATTATCGAGATTGATGTGATTAGAAGTGCAACTAACTTAGCATCTGAGGTAAAATTAAGGTTCAGTCGACATGGGTGGCGACCTAGTCATAGGATTGATGGTGCATGAGGCTTCATTCTTTTGTGATTATGTCCGGTTTGTCTTTCCTCATGTAGCCATGTGTGGCTTTTTTTTTATCGTTTTTCGACTTATCTAGACCTTGTAAACGTCACAATGATGAATTAAGAGTTGTGTGCACCAACCAATGCAGAAGGTTTTATCCCTCATTTCGAGAGAAAAAAACATCCAAGGTAAAAGGAAAATGAGAAGCACCTGCCAGACAGACCGGTTGGTACCGGCCGCGAGGGCAGCGAAGAAACCTTTTTCTGGCATAGGGTCTGGGCCGCTTTGAATCACCAAGCACTATTAGAACCGGAAGAACACATTAGGATGTACTCCCTCCGCCTCATAATATAAGAGCGTTTTTTACACAAAGTACTATACTATGGCTCTAGGGTCATTACCAAATGCTGAGGGGGGCTTGCGGTTGAGCAAGCGCATCGCGGCCAAGCCCAATGCGGACGGCACAAAACGCAATCGTGTTATGCGCAATGCCAAGCTTCACAACATTGAGCATACCACAGGCAGTTCCGTTTGCAGTTGTATCTATTTTTGGTCGTTTAGCAGTCTCTCTTGGTTTGATTAATGTTAAGACACTAAAGATGGAACGGTTCTGACAGTCAGACGGACAGTCGAGACGGGTGTGAAAGCCACACCGATCAAATTTGGTCGGTAATCCGTGTGGTATGTGTATTGTACAAAGAAGATGCATCAAGTTACAAAACAAATAGATGCCCTTATGTTTGAGAGTGGATTCTTTGCTCTCAGGTTCCATGGAGCCCGAAATTTTCAAAAAATTGAAATTCAACTTTTGAAGTTTCAAAATTTCCAAATTAAGGATTCCATGGAGCCCGAGCTCCATTAGCAATTACCGGTTTATGAGCTCCTACCCAGTTTGTTTTTTAAATATAGCAAAATAGTTCCCTTATCCAGTCAACATCTATTGACAACCAAGACCAAGCAGTGCAGGTACATGAAAATACTACAAGGAGTACCAAAGTAGAGAACAGAAAACAAGTGATCGGCCAAACTACTTAACTACCAACATAGGATTGCCTGTTGTATCCTCCTGATGCGGCGCCATTCGCATACGTCTGGTGCTGGTGGCCAGCAGCCTGTGCCGGACAGTCTCTCGCGAAGTGCCCAGGCTGATTACATTTGAAGCACAGACCAGAGTTGGCGTTGCCGCCAACCGAAGAACTGTAGGAGGCAGCCTGCCCTGGACAGTCTCTTGAAAAGTGCCCAGGCTGGTTACATTTGAAGCACAAGCCTGAGCTGGCATTGGCAGCTGAAGGACCATAGGAATTAACCGCGAAGCCGCTACCTGCTGCTGGTGTCGCTGATGGTGCAGTCGGCATCCCGCGAGATGCGCTGAATTGCTGCCCAAACTGATTTGGGCCACCCATATTCACGGCATAGGAATTGTTGGAAGCTGGCACACTCTGTCCAGCTTCTGAGTTGGCGAAGCCAGCATTAACAGCAGGACCACCATTCAGCCCAGGAGAAGAGCCTGAAGCGTCCTCCGCCAAAAGGCTATCAATGGCCCCCAGAAAAAAACGACTCTCTTTCACTGGGTCGTATCTTTCAGCCTTAACAATGTTGCACTTCACACGCAGCTCATCATTATAGACTTCTTCCTTGACTTTCAGCTTGAATAGGTATTGCTGAAATCGGACCTGCTGTATGATTTCTGCAAACCGTACATCATCTTGCTCTTCATGCTTTATCCTGAAAAGATCTTGTGCTGAGAGGCCGATAATCTCCTGGCCAGCCTCTTGGAATGAAGTTGCATGGGTGGACCCAGTATGATCCTGGATATGGCATGACAGCAGGTATCTATACTCACACGTTTCAGAGCTCTGATCGCATTTCTCACATAGCCACATCCCATCACCATTATTTGTTACCTTTTTGTTGCAGCTTTTACCATTAACCTCCCTGGTGCATGCTGGGTAACAAAAATTATCAGTGTAGATTTGTGAAATTGCACCTTGAACGGTGATCCAATCAGGCTTTTCTGATTGCCCCATGCGTTCATCCTTGATCTGTGCAGTTTTTTTCCGGATATCAGTCCTGCCCATGCTTGACATTTCCCCAGATAAAGAAGTGCAGGCAGCAATTTTTCCTTCAGTTATGTACCACTGCCTCAGCCTTTCAGCTTCAGGGAAATCCGGATTTATTTTTAACAAACTTGAGCTAGTTGTACCCACTGTTTTGCCGTTGAATTCACCAACTCGACCAGATTTCAGCGCAAGTATAGGATTCAAACCAGAATCGCACAGCGACTGCAGCTGCTGACCTTCAGCATCACAGAAGTTACCCCAAAAGGTCATTTCCACACTGCAACCAGACATGTCCTTCAGTTGAAGGACTCTTTTCTGGGTTTCCCCGCCATTCTTAAGCATTACTGTAAAAGAAGGCCTAACTGAAGTAACAACCCCAAGCAAGTCTACTGTGGTATCTTTATCCATGTTTGCAATTTCGCTGATCTGCCGAAAATTGAACTGCTGCTTAGGGATGCTGCTATCATCACCAGAACAAACTTCTATAGATGATGAAGGCTCAAGGTTTATTTCATAGTCATTGTTTAAAGGGCTAAACCTCTTGTTTGCGGGTTTTAGCGATCCCCTAGATACCAAGTACACCTTATCAACCTCAATTAAGTCATAGAACTGATCAACTGCCGCGCCAAAGCATGTTGCACGAATTTCTCCACCATTTGCATCAAGGAGATCAAAGGAGAAGACTTTTCCTGGACCTCTTGCATTATTGAAGTTCTTGACATGAGCCTTCGCAGTCACCCTAGCCTTTATTGTCCATGTACGTTGGTATGGGTTCAGTGCAGAAATTGGAATAACACGAGAAGCAGCTTCATTTTTAGCAACTGGGCCACTATTTCTATGGGGTGGAGGTGGCTGCTGATATGAAGACTGTGCAGGGCGCCCATATATATTGCGAGGAGGCCCAAAGCCCCCACCTGTGCCAGGAACCACAAAACTTTGGTTTTGATGAGAGTTTGGCTGCACCACATTGGCATTCATTGTGTTCTGTGCTGACATTGTACCATAAGTTCCACCAGACAACACATTGTTAGCACCAGGTTGAACAGACTGACAAATTGAAGAGTCCACGCCTGGGCCACCGTTGTTGGGTCTACCATATGACAGATTGTTACCAATCTGTTCCACCCTTGGAGCAACTGCAGACCCCAGCATGCCTGGGCCACCAGAATAGTTTCCACTGTTTGTTTGAGCAGCATTGGCCGGTAAGTTAGGCTCCTGTCCCTCAGGTAAGCTTTTCTCATAAGTCTTTGGTGTCCCAATTTTGGGGCACTCACTTTGGAGAACTTCAAGTTTGACAACAATAACGATCCTGAAGCAATGGAAAAGAATTCAGCTCAACTGATTAGAAATCCATATACAAGCATCAAATTGTTTTAAAGTTATCTGGTTAGTTCTACCAGAAGATATTTGTTTCTAGAAACAAACTCAGCTCATAAAACGGTAAAAAAAACGAGCAATTTGAAGACATCGGAGAATATAATAGCTAACATGCCCTTATGTCTTTAGAATTAAAAATCCAGCCTTCATGTTTTCGCAAAGGGAACAAACAAGGTTCCAAACACATGATGTAAATTGTTTCATTAATTGACACGGCAATCAACAATCAACAGATCGTAGGCCATAAGCATTGGCACAAAATAGAACACCTTTTTTTCTGCAACAAACATACAGACATGATGCCATGGGTTATAAATTCCTACATAAGGAAGGTAGTTCTCAGAAAATTATATATCACAAACTAGGAGGATGGAGCTTTCTTGTCGCTGGTAGCTTGGCAAAACATGAGAAGCGAAGTGTGTTTCATTGGATGAGAGTGCACTCACAAACAGACAACTGCATGTGAAATCACAGTAGAATACATAGTTAAAAAAGGCGCGCCTAATCGAGCGCTTAAGCACACCTAGGCTCTAGGTGTTGGCAAAACGCATTGCGCATAACTACGCTTAATCTGTGCATAACTGCGCATAAGCATGCGCTTTGGTCAATTAACGCCTAGCGCTTTTTTGAACTATGGTGGAATATGAAATCAAACTTTTCTTAGGGTCCTCGGAAGAATGAGATTGCAAGCAGGCTATGCATATTATTTGCATTAGATCAACATGAAACGTTCAACACATTCATTGACATAGCACTGCATCAAACACCACCCCCCTCACCCCCTCCATTTTGTCAACAGTACCCATGCCAAAGAGAACTTATTCTGGTGGGATTGAATGAAAACTGAAAAGAAAATGAGTAATGGCATATGTTCTGCTAGTAAAATGCTATAGGATCTCTGTTTTTAAGGCGTCCCTAAGGCGTCGCTTAGGCGACGCCTAGGCGTCAGGGCGCCCCCAGGAGGCAAGGCGTCGGCCTTGCCTTACATGTGTGTCTAAGGCGTCCGCCTTAGTCCTTAAGGCGTCCAAGGCGTCCGCCTAGGCGCCACTCTGCCTGCCTTAGGCAAATAAGGACGCCTTAGACAGAGCTGGGTGGTTTAGGCGGGAAACAGATAACTGGGAGGGAAGGAAAGGGCGGGAAACTTTGTTTTGGCGCCAACAGGTACTAGAGGGAGAGAGAGAGAGACCTGTAACCATTTTCAGTTTCCCCCCACCCCCAGGCTGGATCTGAGCTTCTCCCCCTCCTCTCTGGCAGCTTCCCCCTCCTCCCCGGCAGATCCCCCTCCCCTCCTACAGTTCCTCCTCCTCCTCTCCTGCAGATTCTCCATCCTCTCCTGCAGATTCTCCATCCTCTCCAGAACCATATGGGCTCTACAACCATCAGTTGCAAGGTGTGTATGGCTGTATGCCTAGTTGCCTAATGCCTACCAAATTCTACTTAATTCTGTTGCTTACAAGTCTCTAAGGCGTCGCCTCGCCTTATGCCTTAGCGCTTAGGCAGTGAGGCGCCCCCCCCAGCGCCTCGCCTCGCCTTACCGCCTTAAAAACATAGTATAGGATTATCAGAAAACAATCAATTTTAGGCCTGAAGTTAAACTAAGGCTAACAAAAATTACTATTTGTTTTTTACGTGGGCCAACACTTAACTAACAGAGCAAGCACATGCAGCCCAAAGCCCAAAATTAGCTAGCAGCTTATCCCACACCCAAGCCGACAACGCACCAGGAAATCCCCAACAGAGCGAGGGCGATCCCTAACTTAGGCGTCGCCATCGGCCGCCGCCGACACTGAGCTCCGCATCGCCGGACGCCTGGCACCTGGCGAATCCACGAATGGGTGAACAAGAAGCAGTCCCGGGGGCGTCCTGCGTGGGAGGCAGCGGCGGTGGCACAGCATCAAGCTCATCAAACTGAGAGTTGCAGTTTGCAAAGGCAGCAAGCACAACCAGCAGGTACACAGTGATACTGTCCAATCCATTTTCTTCTGACATTCACCTTCAATGTCTACTTTTCTAGCCAATTACTGAACATGGTGATGTTGTAATGTAGGGAATCTATAAGAAAATGAAACCAGAGAGGAATGGTTTGAGTGGTTTGATTGGCTAGAGTACAGTGTACACAAAAACCGTGAATAATGTTTTTTGCTGCTTTCTATTTAAGCAGTCAGCAAGCCATGTAAGTTTGGGGGGTAATGTCTTCAAGCAAGATGGGTATAAAAACTGGAAGAAGGCAGTGGAATATTGCAGGCTTCATGTAAGTTCGATAAAGAGTGCTCACAACAATGCAAGAAGACATTGTGCAGATTTCAAGAATCAGAAACAAAGTGTGGCGTATGCAATTACTACTCAAACTGAGAGGGGCCATCTTCAATATCAAGATGTTTGCTGGCTGTTATGGGTGTTGTGATGTTTCTTCTTAGGCAAGGACTTGCTTTCCGTGGCCACGATGAGTCTAAGGCTTCAAGAAACATAGGTAGTTTTCATGAGATGTTGAATTGGTATGCTAAAAGATGCAAAGCTGCAGCTGATGAACTCAATGATAAATTGATAATGCTCCTTGGAATCATCAAATGGCTTGTCATGATATCCAGAAGCAAATTGTACATGCTTGCGTACAAAAACCACCGAGGTCATCATGACTGAGCTTGGGGGTGGTCATTTCTCTCCACCAACGGCAAATGGCTGTCATTGTGAAGTTTCTAAACATAAAAGGAGATATTTGGAAAGGTTACTTGGTGTCAAGCATGTTGCCGACACCACATCTGCATCTCTCAAAAGATCCTTGAGTGTTTGCTAACCATAAATTATCCATGTCTAGGTTGAGAGGTCAAGGGTATGATGGAGCCTCAAATACGCGTGGGCACTAAATAATTTATAGAAACTAGTGTTAGATGAAAATCCTCATGCATTATATGTTCACCGTTCCGCCCATCAGCTTCAATTACTAGTTGTGGCTTTTGTGAAGGGCATTCTTGCTGTTAGTGATTTCTTTGGATATGCAAATATGGTTGTAACCATGGTTAGTGATATTTTGTTGACTTGTTTCCAATGCTGTGTTTTGTAGTTCAGTGCTTCTTGTGAAAGGAAAGATGCATTTCTACAAAAGCATCATGCCAAAATTGTGTGGCAATTAGAGAATGGGGAGATTCTTAAAGGAAGAGGCAAACATCAAGAGACAACTTTAGCAAGACCTGGTGATACACGATGGGGATCTCATTATAGAACATTGATTCGGTGATTCAAGTGCATGCAATTTCTCATGATGGGGAAGATGCGGATGATGGAGGCAAAGCATCAGGTTTGATGAAATCTATGGAGGTCTTTGAATTTGTTCTCAATCTTGCATTTGATGCTTAAAGTGCTTGATTTGACTAATGCCTTGTCACAAGCATTGCAACAGAAGGACTAAAATAGAGTAGTAAGTGCAATGAAAATGATTGTGTCTGTGAAAAGTTTATTGCAGCAGCTGAGGGATGAAGGATAGGAGCCACTTTTGGAGGCTGCCACTTCGTTTTGTGTTAAGAGAGAGATACTAGCGCCTGGTATGAATGAGAATATTCCAGCAAGGAGTTCCCACAAAATGGTTTGTGCTTCCATCACTGTTTGTAAAGCGTCCCTAAAGCATCGCTTAAGCGACGCTTAAGCGTCAGAGCGCCCTCCAGGCTCAAAGCGTCCAGCTCGCTTTAGACATGTGTCTAAGGTGTCCGCCTTATAGACATTAAAGCGTCTTAAGTGCCCGCTTAGGCGCCCTGATTGGCGCTTTAGTGCAGAGAGGACGCCTTAGACTTCCAGGCAGGGGAACAGAGATTTCTGGTGGGAAAAGGAGCTGGGCGGGAACACAAGTGTGGGAAAACTGGGCTCACACGTGAAAGAGTTACAAGAGGGGAAAGAAAGAGGGAGAGAACCAAAACCAGAGCATGCAAATCTCTGGCCACAACTCCTGCCCCCCCCCACCCTCCCTCTTGCACAACCACAATGTATAGCTCCTGCCCTCTCTTCTCCTCCTTCCCCTCCCTTTGCTCTTTCTTCCATGCTCAGATCTGCACCAGCTTGTCATGCCTTTCCTGCTCCTGTTATGTGTTATGCTATGCACAGCTCCTCTGCTGTCAGGTGCTGCTGCTGCCTCTCTTATATTAGTTGGCTGGTTGCTTACTGCTTAGTGGATGGATTAGAATAATGGCTATTAATGCATATGTGCTCACTGGTGGATTAGAATCAAGGTATGTATGTCTCACTAAACAGTACTCTATTCTACTGCCCATCAGATTCAAAGTCTGTCTAAAGCGTCGCCTCGCTTTACGCTTTACGCTTAAGCAATGAGGCACCCCCCAGCACCTCGCTTCGCTTTACCGCTTTAAAAACATTGGCTTCCATCATTACACGGTTGAAATATTCAAGGTTCTTGAAGAAGCATAGCTGAGGTGAACAATCAACTTAGTAAGACTTCAACAAGATTATTGATATGCATTGCGAGCCTAGATCCTAGAGACTCATTTAGCAGATCTAATCATGAGAAGCTATTTGAGCTTGCATCTATTTTCCCAGTTGACTTCAATCAAGAAGACCAATATCATTTGGATGGTCAGCTCAAGATATACATTGATACGATGAAAAGGTCTGCTGTTCTTTGTGGTTGCGATAGTCTCACTAATCTTCCTCTCAAGTTGGTTGAAACTAAGGAACATTTACAATTTCCTTTGGCTTATCGGCTCACCAAACTTGCTTTGACTTTGTCGGTAGCGACAGCATCAGTTGAAAGAGTTTTCTCAGCCACGAACATCATAAAGACAGATTTGAGAAATAAGATATCTGATAATTGGTTGAATGATATGATGATATGCTATCTTGAGCAAGAAATATTTGCTAGAATTGATAACAAGAAGATTATTGAAAATTTTCATGGCTTGAGGAACCTTAGAGGCCATCTACCAAACCATCCTTGTATAATTACAACTTGAGTAAATACTTTTCTTATCTATTGTTTCAAACTATTAGCATACTTGTGCTAAGATATATTAATATGCAGCTTGTTCACTGGTTGTAGGTACCTATAGACTTGGAATTGGACATTTTGGGCCAGGGAATGAATGATTCGAGCAGCGGGAATCCATATTAGTAGCTCTCTGTGGCATTTATGTTGTCTTTTGTGTTTTTTGGTGGTTGCGCCACCTAGTTGTTGAGAATATTGAACTATTTTGAACCATTAGTTATGTTAATTTTCCAGTGCATCTAGCTTCGCATTTGAGTTTTATGAGTTTTGGTTCAGCGGACTTGCATTTGTACGTTAAAAAAATTTGACCTTAAATGTTTCGCCCCGGCAAGTTTAATTCCTGGATCTACAACTGACAGGCACCAACTAGACGCGCCTACCTGCAACTCAATCAAGAAACTAACACAAAGATACCACCTTTGCTGAAACCGCTGGTGCCCCGGACAAATCGACAGCCGAATAGTAAGCCAGTCAAGCAGATCAAGATCCAATCGAGGCCAAAGGGAGAGAATAAATGTCGGTTGACGCACCTGCGTTTCTGGATGGTGTTGCACGTCATGTCCGTGAGGTGGACGATGGAGCCGACGCGGAGGGTTCCGTCCTTTATGAGGTCGTTGAGGCCGGTGCCGAGCATGGACTGCTGGGAGTGGACGCCGTCGGAGAGCAGCATGCGGAACCGCTCCGAGTGCTGCGCCGCCGCCGCCGCCGCGGTCGTGTTCTTGGCGATGACGGGGCGCAGGTCCGCGACCTGCAGCACCGGCTGGAACGTCGCCGGCCCGTTCGGGAGCTCCCATATCTCCATCACCGCGCCCGCCGTCAGCGGCGGCGGCGCCTCCATCGAATCGGCGGAGGGGAGGGGAGGAGGTTTCGATTTTGGGGGAGGGTTTTGCCGTTGGTGATGGGGGGGAGCGGCGGCGGCGTACGGGAGGAGAGGAGGGCGCGGTTTGTGAGGTGGAATGTGATTGGTGGAGGGTGGGCAGTGGGCGGTTCATAGACCGGGTGCACGGTGGGTGTTTCGGGAGATTTCGGCCCGGGGGATCAGGGGAATGGAGGGAGAGCGGAATTTCATTTTGGGAATGCCCGGGAACGGGGAAAAGGAAAGGAAATTCGCAGGGGACGCCTAGTCGGTTGGCCGCACTATTGCTTAGTGACTTTTAGAAAGAAAAAAAAACACAGCCATTTCTATTATATTTTTCAACTGAGCCTGACGAAACAAATACATGAATGACACACAAGTGTCGTTACACCTACTCGTTTTGTGATGTGTCCTGACCTTGCACTGTTAACAGCCCATTGGTATATTAATCGATCTAGCACTCCACTCACGAGTTCAGGTAGCAGTAGTGATTACAGGCAAGGTACAAGAATTGGGAGGAAGGGGAAGGGGATCTGAAGAACAGGGAGGAGCCGTGTCGCTGTTGCCAAACTGTGATCCATTGGATGCCGCTTACTGATGCCGACTGGAGCGTAAGTAGGTGAGCCACCGTCACGCCCACTCAGGGCCTTGGACTCGTGTATTGAGTCGGCTCGCGTGTGGGCCGAGCTGCCAGCGAGGCTGTAGGTGTCGGTGTCAAAACCGGCAGATCTCGGGTAGGGGGTCCTGAACTGTGCGTCTAAGGATCGAAAGTAACAGGAGGAAGGGGACACGATGTTTATCTAGGTTCGGACCCTCTTGATGGAGGTAATACCCTGGTACCTGCTTGATTGACTTTGATGAGTATAGGGGTTACAAGAGTTGATCTACCTCAAGATCATAATGGCTAAACCCTAGATGTCTAGCCTGTATGATTGTGGTTGCCTCTACGAACTAAACCCTCCGATTTATATAGACACCGGAGGGATCTAGGGTTGTACAGGGTCGGTTTACAGAGAAAGGAAGATGCATGATCCGAACGCCAAGCTTGCCATCCACGCAAAGGAGAGTCCCGTCCGGACACGGGGACGGCTTGTTCGGTTAATCCTCTCCCCAAGAGGATTGAAGGGGATTGGCGAGGATTGGGACGTATTTTGACTTACAAGTGGTTTAAATCCTCCTCAAACCTCTTCAATCCTCTCGGATCCACACTCAACCAAACAAGCCCAGAAAGGTCTTGAATCTCATATCTTCACGGCCCATTAGTCCGGCCCATATCGCATAGCTTGGACGCCCAAGGACCCCTTAGTCCAGGACTCCCTCCGTAGCCCCTGAACCGGACTTCAATGACGATGTATCCGGCATGCAGATTGTCTTCGGCATTGCAAGGCGGGTTCCTCCTCTGAATACTCCAAAGCAGTCTTCCGCACATAAGAGTTGTATCCGGCCCTGTTTAGCACGTACAACCCTAAGTTGTAAAAGGTAACAATACTTAAAATAAGTCACGTCCATGGGCGACTTTTTCGGCGAGACGTTATGTTCGGGCTTTGCCATTATTCCGAACCGTATTACAGCCCTCGCTTCGCGTATCGAGGCACGGTCATCAACGCGTCTTGTCAAAGCAGAGATTGTGTCCCCTTATTATGGGATCCTCATCAATGCGGATTTGGGTAATCCAACCGCGTCATTCGCACGTCTCCTTGGGAATAGGCGAAGTTTAAGGCTTATGAGGGGGCGCTTGATATTCACTGTCTCTATAAGAGGACAAGGACCCATCCGTTTTACCTCACGCCTTCTTCTTCCTCTACCCTTCCGCCCCCGAGCTCCAGCGCCCAAGTTCTAAACTTTCCCTTTGCCCCAACTTCTCCGGCAATGGCCGAATCCGGTTTCCAGGGCAAGTGGATGACCTTCTCCGTAACGGAGAAGAACATCCAGGATCTGCGTGAGGCGAGGTACATGACGGCGGAGATCACACACAGGCTTCCTACCCCGGGGCAGGTTATCCCTACCCCAAAGCTCGGCAAGAGGGTGGTATTCATCCCCCACTTCCTCCGAGGACTTGGGTGTGCCCTTCATCCCTTCTTTTGAGGCCTCATGTTTTACTACGGGCTGGATTTCCATGATCTGGCCCCGAATTCCTCCCTCCACATCTCGGTGTTCATCGTCATGTGTGAGGCATTTCTCCCTGTCCCCCCACACTTCGGCCTATGGCTCAAGGTCTTCAATGTGAAGCCGAAGGTGGTTGAGGGCCAACACGCAGAGTGCGACGGCACCATGGTGAGCAAGCTTCCCAACGTCACATGGCCCAAGGAGACATTCGTGGACATTGTCAAGGTATGGCAGCAGGAGTGGTTCTACATCACCAAACCCCGCGGCTCCAAGTGGGCGCCCGCTCCTGCTTTCAGATCGGACCTCCACTGCGGCTCGCATCCTAGACCAACAAGGGTCTAGATTGGGGATCCCTTGACGAAGTGTCGCGCTGCAAAAGCGTATTAAGAGCATTATAAAAAACGACATCACCCTTGTTGATGTGATCCAGGTGATGCTTATCCGCCGAGTTCTTCCCTACCAACGACGGCCTCTCAAATTGTGGGAGTTCAATCCGGAGGGGCCACGGACCCTGCAGCGATTCTTTGGCATGACGCACAAAGGAATCTGGAAGCTGCTTTGCAAGAAGCAGAAGACGTGGCCAAGGACATCTGACGACACCGGCCTCGACTGCAACAATCCGGCATCCCTAGTAAGTATCATATTTTTGAACATTACTTAGCTCGTCAATCTTAGAGAAGGATACTGAAAATTCCATCCCCTGAATAGGATTGGATAAAGAAGGCAGAGGAGATTAAGCGTCCGGCCCCGCTCCCCGAAAACCCAGCCGAGCCTCTATTGATGAGGATGCTGGTCCCAGTGCCCTACCAGGCGCCGACGAAGAAGGACAAGAAGAAGAAGAGCAAGGAGGCCGAAGGTGGCCTCCATCATGAAGATACTTCGGGCGCTATGTCCGGAGGAACTGAGGCTCCTTTGTCTCATGAGGGAGACAAACACGAGGAGGAGGAGGAGGAGGAGGAAGAGAACCCTCCTATCAAAGGGAAAAAGAGGGCGGCCTCCGTAGATCCGGAGGAGGGGCGTCCAAGAGGGGAAAGATATCCCTCTCGGATGATTCAGATTCAGGCACCGAAGCTGTCCCCAAGCACCGCCCCTGAGCCAAGCCCCTTGCCCAATCGTAAGTACCTTAGGATGCCTTACGTACATCAAATCTTTTATAAAATATAAGAATAATATCAAATTATGTGTTTCAGTCCAGCCCGTGACATTCCTTAAGAATCATCGTCATCAGGGGATCTTTCGCCGAAGAAGATGGAGAGAGAGACGCCTCCACCAAGCTTCCTCGCCTCCTAGGGCAAACAACGCCGAGGTGTCGTCCCAAAGGATTTCTTAGGGCTCCGGAGGAGTGCGGGAGGGGACCAAGACGGCGCCAGAGGATAACACCTTGGCTGTCGAGAACATGAGGGGCGCAACCCTCATGGAGACCGGCGACGGGGGTCCTGGATTATCCGACCCCCGGCCGGATACTGTTCTGGAGACATAAACGGCTCCAGAACCGAATCAGCAGCCCCCTCGCGGGAGGGCGAGACGGCTATTCCAGCGGCGACCTCTATTAATGCAGAGGCGCCGAACATGATGATGGATGCTCTGCAAAATGCGCCCGTCTTGGAGGAGCACCGTACCTTGAAGGGAACGGTGGTTGAGAAGGTTCAGTCCGCTAAGAGCGGGCTGAATGAAGCCTTCATGAGCCTACTAACAGGCTTCGAGGTATGCGATGTAATGTCCTTAGTCGCTTTCCATATGACAAATCTGCCTATATATAGATAGTAGCCCCTGAGACTCTGTTTGGCCCATGAAGGAGAGCGAACAGAGGGTCTGTAGATATTCGCAGGAAATAACATACTTATCTTTTTGACAAAAAACAGGCTTCACTGTTAGCGACGACCGCTCAGGCCGCCGAGGTTTCCGAACTGAAGCGAAAACTGCAGCTTGTCGACGAGGACAATATCCGTATTAATAAGTGGCTCGACGAGGCGAAGTGTATGTTTCAAGTACTCCATATATACTTGAATTAGTTTGCAAATGCGAAGTTGAAGCTGACGCGCTGCTATATGCATAATTGCAGATGGCGCTGCTGAGGTCGAGACCCTCAGGAGTGACCTTGCCCGCGTGAAGGAGCAGGCAAGGGTGAGCGATGCGGCCGTTGAGAAAGCGGCTGGTGATTTGAAGGCCGAACAATCCACCCGGCGCCAGTTCGAGGGGCGGGTATCCCAAGTTGAGCAAGAGCTCAAGGACGCCACTCGCAAGTGCGAGCTCCTCGAGGAGGAGAATAAAGCTAAGGCGGTCGAACTCGCCGAGGCCCTTCAGGAAGCCCAAGAAGCGAGGTCCGGATCCCGAGCGGCTCGCGAGGAGATACGACAGGCGGACAGATAGCGGCTGGTAAGCCCTTTCTTTTACAGTCTAAGTTTGGCGATCAGAGGTATGCCTTGCTTAATTGACTACAGAGTTCTCCGGACGTCTTTGCGGATCTTCCGAAGAGCGTCATCGATGCTATGCAATTCTACCGAGCCTAGGAGGGGCAAACTATTGCCAATCATATGATCATATGACACTTGTTCATCTTTCGTTGCTTTGTGCTTCGAGCTCAGAACAATTCTGTCAAAACTTCAAGACAACCAAGTGTTATTTGCATACATGGTCTGACCATCTCCATCTTAAATCTCTCATCCCGTTTATGCTCATGTGGACATGACACACTCCGAGATGCTAGAATGTCATAGATGGTTGCAACACTAGGAAGAGAACCTTTTGACTTGATATTTACTATGAGAGATCACCCTAATAATTGACTACTGTGTAATCAAAGGGTGCATAAAACAAAAGGGATAAACATCTCAGGCAGTTCATAAAAGCATCACTACAAAAAAAAGACACATCCA